TAATTTTCGAGAGAATTTAAATTATGATAAATATTTCTTAGTTTCATTCGAATAGGGAGATGTGTTTTATTTAAACTTTTAAAATTTAGATCCAGTTATTGATTAAAAAAGTTAAATATTCGAGTGATTCATGAAATATTCATAGAAAGAAGTTGAGTAATTTTCTCTTGAATAAAAAAAGACTAGAATAACTCTTCTTGAAATTCATAAAAACCCTTCTTAGTATGTTCAGAGGCCCACCAGCAGCCGAGCAGTAAAAGCCACTGAACTCTGGTAATTCATTTCGGAGTTTGATTCCCAGCAAACGGGCTAGCTGCCCGGTGGTTTTCGTGGTTTTCCCCATGCATAAGGCAGATACGAGCCAGTTTCCCTTAAAATGACCTCCACAGGGCATTCCTTCATTTCCGTGTAATGCCTAAAGGCGGAGCACGTAATAAGTAAAAATAAAAATATGTTTTAATATTAAAAGGCTTTCCAGCTTTTACTTATTGTTGTTGTCTTGACCATGAAAGAATGACCTTTTACTTGTTACTTGTACAACTGCTTTTAAAAGTATGGTTTTCTTCTGCAAACCCCTTATATTCTTCTCTATAATATACAGCATACCACATAAATGTAATAAAAATTATGGCACATAAATAACTTAATAATTAGAATATGAAAAATGGTTTACTAGGTTCTTGCCTTATTATTTTTTGTATTGTTATTTTTTTTGATTTTACAAATATACACAAGTTTTCAGAAACAGAATCACAGATTTTATTTGCACAATGGCTCAATTTTTATTACCGCGATGGCTGCGCTTGAGGTATTGATGTAATATTTTAAATATTTAGCATAAAATTGCTTAACATGATAGTTTCTTGGTTTCTACAGTAAATTATTGACTTATCTGAAGTCTGCTTCTACTAGGTAAGAAAAAGGGAAATGTTAATGATGTTTGTTGTTCGAAAACCAATCCTTCCTTCAATGCGATCAGTTTTTCTTTGATAGTTATTTCAAAATGAAACGTATGGCATTTCAGCGGTTCTATGCAAACACAATCAAGTTTTCACTTTATTAAAGCGAATATTAAAAGCTTTCAAATTTTGCAAGCGGCTCGTACGTAACACATATCTTCTGAGGAAGTTTTAAGTGCTTTGTAATTTTCGTGGTTGTGTTTTCTTGTGTTCCTGCCTTTTACATTTTTATATTGCACTTCTTGTGTAAAATTTTTTTATATATTTAGAAGAAATTAAAATTCGGTAAGGTTTAATATTTTTACGGTCGCTTAAATGAATTTGCTAAGGTTTTCTGTGCTCTCTCTCAGCTTGTAGTCTATTAATCTAGTCTTGCACTCGCTACTAGTTATCCATTTTTAAAGCTTTGTTATTAAGCATTGCTTTCTTCCCAATTACGCCGCTTACACTTCAGAAAAATGTCACATTTTTAAAAGCTGCATACTAGCATATGTTTTTGCAAATTTTGAATAGCGTAGTCCTGCATGCAAACATTCGCACCTGAACGCCCGATTTTTGAATTTCAAATTTGTTTTATTATTTATTTCATATTTTAAAAAACTTTTCATTTAAAATTTAAAATTTTTCATTAACGAACTCATTGATTTGAAACCACGGAACCTACGGCGAAACTTCGAAACTAAATATTTTTGTCTCCAGCGTGCGAAGCTGTTGCCATTCAGAAAAGTGGAAGTTATTTATCTTTCAATTTTAATAAACAAATTCGACTCTAACTTTTCATGATAACTAGTTTTTATAGAAGTAGTATAGCAAATATAAAAATATGCATGGCGTCTTCTTCCATTGTATCACCAATTTAAAAGTATGCTGTTTTTAAATATTTAGTGATTTTGCCGTTGGTATTGAATTTTATGTGGTGAAGTGTGAAGAACCTTATATTTAATAGATAAGGTTAATACACAACAATAAGAAAAAATTAACAATATTGTTAGCACATAGCAATATAACACAATGTTAATAACAAAATGTTAAAAAAATGTTTTGTAAGCCATCTTGCTATCAAAACTGAATACTAATATGATGAACTGATTAAAGACTGAAAAAAATATGAAACTGCATAACAATACTTGTTACTGTATTGGAAATTCTAAAGATATGCTGCATTAAATGTAAAATAATACTTTTGTCATTTTACCATTGAATTTTACACGGAGTAAAAGCGAAGAAAGCAATGTGTATAACAAAACAAATTATGTAAGTGAGTTCAAGAGCAGACTAATAAGCTGCGAACTCAGCGAGTGTGTTAGAAAATCTTAATAAACTCTCTTGTGTGACTTTAAAATCTGAACACTTTCAGTTTTATTTCATTTTATTGTCCCAAAGGGGAATTTACCGAGGAGGGCCATTCATTTCGTTTTTGGCATTTTTGTGTTGATTCACTATAAACGGCATATCACTTTTCAAATTGTTGCCACCAAATATTAGAGCCCTGTATTATATTTAAAAAAAATTAAATAATGACGAATCTGCACAAATGTATGTATATGTTTCTGGCATTGTGATAAAACAACGGTACCTAGAGACATCCAATTTTGAATAACGTAGTCTTCCATTCCTATATGGGGATCTGGAAGAATAAATTTGGAATTTGTTTTATATACCCAAATTTGGAATTTGTTTATATTATAAAGAACATATTTAATAAATAATGGTAACACACAAAAACTTTAAAAAACGCCCTTTTGGGAGTAATGCAAAATCTGAAAGCTTCCAGATTTTTAAATTTTTATATTTACTTCCCTTCCTCCTCAGTTTAAAAAAAAAAAAAAAAAATAGTAGTAACGCTTTTTCACTCACGTGCCCCAAGATGGCAATTAAACTCCTGGTTCAGTTTTCTTTTTCGAATCAACTGTTTGACCAATAATTAAGAAAAATATCTAACTCCAACTCAATGTCGGAAAGAAAAAGGAAGGCCATTATTTAAAAGAAATTAGTAGCTTGACATTCACTTGTCAAAAACCTAACACAGAATTTGCTAATTAGGCTTAATGAACCAGAGCAGTCAGAATTAACCAAGATAGCTATCCACTTATATTGCCTCTCGAGAGAATATTTTAATTCTACCGTAATATTTTATTCTGCTTGACTCAAAGAGGTTTGAGAAGATTTTGTCTTCCTTTCTACATCTTTTTAATTACTAACAGCCGTCTATTCTAAGACGTTTTCGAGGAAAAAAGCATTTTTTACATATTATACATGTTCTTTCAGAGATCAAAACTATAAATGAGTCATTTTTATTTATTTACTTACTAGAGGAAGTATCCGATGCCAGTTAAGTTAAATTTAGAATAATCTAACAACGGAGAGAATAACTGTAATCCTTCTGTAATAACGATTTAGTCATACCTTTTTCACTCTGATATAAATTTCTGTAGAAAAATAAACTAATTCTCTCCCATTATATTGGCAACAATCGCACACAGTTTTTAATGATTTTCGTCTTTCTAATCAAAAGGTCGTAAAAGCTCAAGTTCCGTCCAATATGTCACCTATATTCAATTTCAGTCCATTAAATGTGACAAAAAGTTTATCATAATTTATTAGAAGTCAATAATGCGAACAAACAAACACACACACACACAGACATTCTTCTTTATATATATATATTGTAACGCTTACACATTTTTGACTAACAAACTGCGATTTGAAAGCTAGCAAATGTATTTAATGTTGAGCAAAGCTATTTTTATTTCATCGTAAAACTTACAAATTTTTTTTTAACAAACTCTACGATTTGAAAGCAAGCAGTGACAACACTTCTCGAAAGAAAGCAGATTTTTATCTCCAACGTGCGAGATTGTTCCTACTCGAAAAAATGAGGTCGAAAATTAGAGTTTTCAGAATTAATTAATATCTCAGATTTTAGCTATTTTTGGGGAGGCAGTGGATGTCGACCTTTCTCAGGACCCAAAAAAGAACTGTAGAAAGCTTAGTGACGATAGCTATAGTAGTAGCTGAGTTAATTGCGAACAAATACACAAACATTCTTCTTTATATATATGTAGTGTTGGCAGTGGCGATAAATGCAAAGCATATTTTGCTTCCCTTAAAGCTAAGACTAATCTAAATAAAATTCATGCTTTATTCCGTAAATTAAAATAAGCTAACACTGTAGCCTTTACATTTAAAATCATTTGAGTGAAAGAAAACTAGCATTATGCTAACTCATAAAAACACACATTCGCCGATACCGACGTACATATAATACTCGACCAACCCGCAGATCTTGACGTCATCGGCCAATCAGCAGCAACCATGTTAGCTTACCACCGATTGACCTCCGATCAAAATTTGCATAAGGAAAAATTAAAGCCAACAAACGGCCCTGTTTTCCTCATGCAAATAGAAAAACAAAACTTACACAGAATTACAGAAGTTCATAGTTCAATTCTATTATACGAAAGCACTTATTGTCTTTAAACACTGAAAACATCTAAACAAAACTTCCTTAAATTAACAGCAGTCGCCGCTTTTGTAAATAAGTCCGCAGTATTTAATTTACTGGTGATAAATTCAAGGTCAAACACTCCATCATTTACTAGTCTTCTAATAAAGTGATATTTTATGTCTCTCTGCTTAGTTCGGCGATTTTCTATTGGCGATCTAGAAAAATCAATGGCAGACTTGTTATCACAAAATAGTTTATATTCTCTTAAATTAAACTTTAAAATTTCATCTTGTAAGACATTTTTTGTCCACATTAATTCCTTCGCTGCTTTAGATAAGGCGATATACCCCGCTTCCATGGTTGATAAACTTACACTTTTTTGTTTAACAGTTTTCCAGATTACCAGTACTCCATCTAAATATAATATAAATATAATAGGAATGACAAGTTGTCATTCCTATTACTTGCATAATCAGCATCTGAATAACAATATAAATTTAGATGTTTAATCTTCGATAAGTTTAATTTATATAATTTAGTACTATTGAGATAACCAAGCAATTTCAACAATGCTTCCCAATGCCTAATTCCAGGATTCTCCTGAAACTGTGATAAGATATTCACTGCATATGTAATATCAGGCCTTGTCCTGTTAGCTACAAGAACTAAACATCCCAACAGATTTCTAAAGGGTAATGTATGCATTTCCGCAATTTCTGCACTTGTAGATGGACAATCTAATTTGGTAAGAATAATGCCTTTATCTATGGGAAGTGAAGTTATTGGTATCTGAAAATGTTTAAATTTTTCAAAAGTTTCTTCTATATATTTTTGCTGATATATAAAAACCCCATTCTCGTTCTCTAAGAATTCAATTCTAAGTAACATTTCAGTTTTGCCTAATACTTTAAGATCAAAAAACTTACTCAGCTGTGAAATTACTTTATACCATATTGATCTTTACTAAAAATCACAATATCATCTACATATAACAAGAGAGTTACATCTGAACTTTTATAAACACAATTACACCATTGTATTTTCTTAAAATGTAGATTTTCTAAAGTACTTTCAAATTCACAAAACCATTCATGGCCGCTTTGATGTAGACCGTAAATGGCCTTGTGTAATAAACACACTTTATTTTCCTCTTCAATAAATCCCTTTGGTTAGGTCATATATATTTTTTCATTTAGGTTTGCATATAAATATGCATTCTTTACATTTAACTGACAATTAGTCCATCCATATATAAACATACCAGTATAGTGAAAAATATTCTTATGATTGAAAAATTTACTACAGGACTGTAAACGTCATGAAAATCTTCACCTCTTTTCTGCCTGAATCCCTGTGCTACTGAACGTGCTTTGTATCTAACCACTTGATTCTTTTCATTTCTTTTTAGCATATAGAACAATTTGTTTCCTAGCATAGTTTTATTTTCTGGCTTTTCGACTAATTCCCAAACCTTTCTTTTCTTCATTGTGTCAATTTCTTCTTTCATTGCCTTATCCCATTCTTCGGCATTTACTGATTTTCGTGCTTCTTTAAAATTTTGTGATATAACAATTTCTACGGAATTTGCCTCTTCAGACACGGAGCTAGTCTCCTTTTCTACAAAATTAATAAATAATAAATTAACCCGAGTATTCGTTTTTTTCCAATAAAACCAAACTTATCTTTTTCAAATTTAATATTTCTTGCCTCACAATACATTTCAATATCATTATAGGATCTAAAACGGGTGTCTGTTCCCTCTACATAATAATATATGTCTGTACATCTTCCGTCTGGCCTTTTAACTGCTTTTCTTTGCCAGTTTAAGTCTGATTCTTCTTTCGGGGTAAATTTATCATCTGAGAACTTTATTTCTTCTCTAGAAGTTTCCTGTTCTTCATCTGATTCTGCTAATAGCTCAGGTTCCTCTAGTCTTTTAAACTTAGTTTTTGTCTGGGGTATATCTAATGCTAAAAAATTCATCCAGTAACTGAATTATCCTTGCTTTTTGTTTTGAGTTCGAATTGCTTCTGTAGAACTTCCCATGCTTCTTTACCACTTGAGCATTCTTGTATCAGCAGCCTGAACTCAGTTTTAATTCCATAATATAATGTAGTGAAGGCTCTGTTCTCTCTCAATGTGAATTCCTGCTTTTCACGTCTTGTTGTACTTTTATCTAATTCTTCTTCTTCGTCCTCTATGAAGATCCAACAATTTCTATCCAGTACCAGCATTTTAATATCGACTTTCCATCGATCCCAGTTTTTGTCTGATTTCTGTTCCAGGAAGCAAATGGCATCCTGGAACAGAAATCAAAGTATCATCAAATTCAATTTTTCAACGAACTTCACATTACAGGTTTCTATTAATCTGCGTTCTTCTGGTAGCCATATCCTATAACCCATAGTTTCCTTCACATATCCTACCATGATTTCTTCTTTGCACCTCATTTGTAATTTATTTCTAATCTGTTTTCGGCATGCCAACTACCAAATATTTTAAAATAAACAACATTGGGTTTTCTATTTAGAAACATTTCATAAGGGGTTCGGTTGCTTTTATGACATACTCTGTTCCATGTATGTATGAAACAGCCAAGAGCTTCTGCCCACCATTCTTTTCCCATTTTACCATCATTAAGCATAGCTTTAACTGCGGTCTAATGCCGTTCGGTTAAAATGTTCACACACACTGTTCTCTTCTGGGCTGTACGCGTTTGTGCGTTCAACACTAATTCCATTTTCGGCTAAGTACCCTTCGAATTGCCTGTTGCAGAATTCCTCACCGTTATCGGTGCGTATACTTATTAATTTCCTATTCGTCAGTCTTTCCATTTGCCTATGATAATTCTTAAAGTTGTAGAATGATTAATTTTTTTTTTCATACAATACACTGTTACTAATCTACTATAGTCATCCACAATAGTGAGGAAATATTTACTCCCACCGTTAGATGAAACTGGGAGTGGGCCACAAACGTCTAAATAAACCGACTGCAATGGTTTATTTGATCTCTTCGGAACAGTTTTAAAAGTTATTCTACTAGATTTAGCAATAATACACGGTTCACACCTCTCCATTGGTTTTTCAATTTCTGGTAACCATTTCACGCTTTGATTCTTACTAGTATTCTTAACATAATCAAAATTTACGTGGCTAAATCTCCGAAGCCATAGCATCGTATTGTCTACTTTATTTAACTTTCCAATTTCTGTACCGTAACCAGCTTCCTTTTTATCTGTTGCATATCTAAATGGTTTTACGTGATAAAGTCCGTCATATCGTTTAGCGTAGCATAATCTATCCCAATTATTAAAATATATCCACATCTTCCCTTTTGAAATCACAAAATGAACACCTGCCTTTTCTAACCTTGCTCCCGATAGTAAATTTCTTTTTAGATTTGGATTATATAACACATTATCTAACTCAATCCAATTTATTCGATTGCCTACTTTTACTGCAAATTTGACGGTACCCTTTCCTTGTACTTTACTTTCAGAATTTCCTACAGCTAAAGACATACGTATATCAACTATTTCTTCAAAATTTGTCATTAAATTTCTATTATTACAGAAATGAGTTGTAGCTGCAGTATCTACGACCCAATTAAATTTACCTGCGTTACCTCCTTTATCTGTAGTTGTTACATAATTTTCTACTAACATTAATTCTTTATCTTTAAACTGTCCATTATTATCGTCTATTTTAAATTTCTGATTTTTACTTACATTTTCTTCACATTGAGCGATTAAGTGTCCAAATTTATGACAATGAAACAAGGTCCTATTCTCATATTCCCCATTTCTCTGAATTTGTTCCCCATTTCCCTGCATATCTTTCCCTGCATTTGAACTAATAGTATTGAACACGCTTACCTTGCTGTCTTCTAAATCAGCATTTACCATAAGTCGGCTTTCTTCCCTTACCAGTTCTTCAGCAATTCTTTCCAGCGTAAAATCTTCGTCCTTCCACCTTAGATCAACTGTACAATGCCGGCGTATTCCTTGGGTAATCTCCTTATTGCCTGAAATCCTTTAAAAAGATCTGGCAAGTTGTGTGCAGCTTCAGCCAACTTTGCAGTCATTTTTATCCTCGCGATGAATAATCCTATTTCTTCATTTGGGGTATATCTAATGCTAAAAAATTCATCCAGTAACTGAATTATCCTTTCTTTTTGTTTTGAGTTCGAATTGCTTCTGTAGAACTTCCCATGCTTCTTTACCACTTGAGCATTCTTGTATCAGCGGCCTGAACTCAGTTTTAATTCCATAATATAATATAGTGGAGGCTCTGTTCTCTCTCAGTGTGAATTCCTGCTTTTCACGTCTTGTTGTACTTTTATCTAATTCTTCTTCTTCATCCTCTATGAAGATCCAACAATTTCTATCCAGTACCAGCATTTTAATATCGACTTTCCATCGATCCCAGTTGTCATGGTTTAGCAGCTCAAAACTTTCAGGTAGTAATGACATCTTCAATTAAGCGTGAGCACAACGACTTGAACAAACTTCTAAGACAGGTCAGCTTCTTTTCATGGATAACGGCCCTCTTCATCTACATTCATTCAATGCTGAGTTGAACTGGGTAACAGGTTAGCTGTTGGCTCTGGGCCCATAAGCCTTATGGCAGTGGAGATGAATGCAAATCATATTTTGCTTCCCTTAAATAAAGCTAAGACTAATCTAAATAAAATTCATGCTTTATTCCATAAATTAAAATAAAATAAGTTAGTACTGTAGCCTTTACATTTAAAATCATTTGAGTGAAAGAAAACTAGCATTATGCTAACTCCATTATAACTCATTCGCCAATACCGGCGTACATATAATACTCGGCCAATCAGCGGCAACTACGTTAGCTTACCACCGATTGAACTCCGATCAAAATTTGCATAAGGAAAAACTAAAGCCAACAATTATAGCCATCAAGCGATGTATGTCAGGG